TTGAGAGCCTCACTGGTCAGTACAAGGTGCTCCTCACCAATTGTCCTTGTCGGAGAGGCTGGGTCCAGACCAGCTCCTCAGGCATCTGAGGATAACCGGGTGCTAGACATTCAGTGTCAGCAGCACATCTTCCTGAGAACACTGGTTTATTCTAAGTGTGGACCTCTGCAGACTCAAGACACGCCTGTTCTCTGAGGTCTAAGCCCCGGGAACAAGCCAGCTGGAGGCTGTGTGCCGGTTGGTATGAAGGCAGCTCTGTGAACTTCCAGGCGTCTGTGAGAACTAGGAGCAGCAGCTTAAAACCACCAAACTCAGGGCCAAGCGAGGAGCTAGAAACCTCCAATACAGGCCCTGCCAGAAGGGACGCAGGTCCTGGGTGGCGGACAGACCTGTGCTCATCTCTCCCCACATTGGAAAGGACAGCAGGTGGCAACAGGCAGCCCCATGGCCTGGGCTCAAGGCAGGTGGGTCCATCACCCTGGGCCCACGAAGAGTTGTGTTACAGAAACAACATGCTTGCTTCACTTCCTCCTGAAACAGGACACCCTGCATCCTCCTGACCAATCAGCTCAACATGGATTAGGGAGGAGGCTCAAGGCACCCAGAGGCCACACCCAGGATGGCTCTTCCCAGGCGGGGGCTGCAGCCACTCTCCTGGACCCTGGGCCCAGCTTCCTCCTGTTCTCCATGGGGGTGATACCACCTGGTCTCAGAGGATCTGATGAGGACTCAGGTGATGGTGCTGACACAGCAATGGCCCAGCCCAGGTTCTGCAGGCATGTATTTCTCCACAGGAAAAAGGAATAGGGAGTGGAATCCCAGTGAAGACTGGTATCAGGGGAGTAATGCTGCTGGAGGTCCTGGTGTCTACTGCACCTCCTTGCTGCCTGCACATATATAAGATGCATGCAAAACACTGAGAAAGGAGCCCAACAGAGCAGAAGCACTAGCATTGAACAGGGGCCCTTTACCCCTGACACCCCTGCAACACATAGCAGGTGGACATGATTCGTGTTTGTCTCCAGCTGGGGAAGTGGGCGGTGTACTTACTGTTGTGTGTGGGATGGTTGGGCCCAGGATAGGGTGAGGGGAATCATTTCCGTTGGTCTGAGAAGAGGGCACATTGTGCACCCAGGGAGCACTAAATCTGGAGTCTTTCTTCCCGAGACTCTCCCCCCAGCGTTCGGGTCCCTGTTACTCATTCACCTTTCTCATCTTTCAGCCTGAACTATTAGTCTGAGGATACAGTCCCCAGGCTCAAGTGATTCTGTCTCCTGGGAACTTGATTACACTTGAAACACTGAGATTCCAGGTGTTTGGACCTAAGTCCCCTGCTCATGGGAGCTCAGGGGCCAGACTGTGGGATCCTGGAGGGGGACCTGTCCTGCTTCCTGTCCTCCCTGAACTGTGCATGTTGGGGACTTCTTTCTATTCTCTGACCTGGGCTTCTTCCCTCTCATTGCATCCTCTTCTGTGCTCACTTAGCCAGACTCAGTGTCTGTTGCTCAGAACCACCGGGCTCTCACCTGACACGCGTCACCGTGGAGTTGCATCAGTTGCACAGTGAGCTCAATGGGGTCCAGCTCTAAGGGCTCAGGGGAGATGGGGTGGACACTGATGGTTCTGTACCCAGTGCCTGAAACCTGCCCAGAGAAGTCTGTGCAGGATGGGAATTCTCCAGGAACTGAGGAAGAACTGATGAAGGAATGAACTCATTTGTCTGAGTGTCAGGCAGGTGATGGCCATTACTGCTGACATCTTCAAGAAGGAATGAGAGGACCGGTTGGAGCCTCAGGAAAACATGGGCTGAGAGGGAGTCAGAGGCACTGAGGAAAGTCTTCCGAGGGAGGTTTGGACAGAAGTGTGGAGAAGGCGCTGCAGCACGTGGGGAGGGACTTAGCAGATGTCCTGGGATCATTTCCAGGTCCCGGGTCTCTGGCTTCCTGCCCTGGGCTCCAGGCATGGGAACCTGTTAAGTGCTCACATGCTCGACACAGGGAAACACAGAGAGTCAGTGCCTCATGGAGCAGGCCCGTGGGGTGAGAGCAACACCCAGATGCTCCCCTCTCCTCCCTGGAGAAGAGGAGCCTGAGACATCTGATGAAGTCTCCTCAGAAGGTCCTGGCAGGTGCAACCCCAGATGGGTGACCAGGTCAGAACATGACCTTGGATGGACTTTCCCTACTTCCTGTCCATTTCCCCCAGGCCCTCAGTTCTGCTCCTGGGGATGGAGTGAGCCTTGCAGCCAGCTCTGCCCTTGGGGGACCACAGGGTCCAGCAGGCTAGGCTGCAGGGAGGCTTTGAGCGTCTGTGCTCAGAGTCATGGGCCGCCGTGGAGGAGGGGAAGCAGGTAGGGCTAAGATCAATATTCTTAAGAGTCATTCTCGCCCCGTGTGGGGAATAGACAGGTGAGGCAGGGCAGTGCCCCGAGGTAAATACAGGAAGACAGTTCTGGAAGGTCCTGCAGGAGTCCTGCAGAAACGTGAAGGCAGCCTGAGTGAGGCGTGTGCTGTCTCTCTGCCCCTCTGTTTACGACTGACCACCCCCCCACACACCTGCACATAGGCCGTCTGCTCTCAGACACCCTTGGGGGCCCTGTGTCCATCCTGGTCCCCGGGGCTGGAGGAGGAGCATCCCCATGCTCAGCCCAATTCAGACGACACAGCCTTCCCCCGGGCATCCCACGGGGCCTGCGGGGCTCCAGGGTCTGAGGGAAATGACTGAATGGGAGCCCAGCGGGCAGGCAGGAGGAGCCATGGAGGACGTGCTCCCTGAGACCCTGGGAGAGAGGCTCATGGGGAAGGAGGTCAGGCATCCGGAGCCCATCTGAGCTCATCAATCAATGCAAGGAAGCCTCAGTGAATCAGCTCATATTTATTGAATTAAAGTCTGTAGAACACAATGTGGACAGAGGCAGATGGTCCTAGAATACCTTGTTTAACTTCATCCCCAACTGAGGAGGAAATTGAGGGTCAGTGAGGCCTTGTCTGTTGGCCCCAGGCTGGTTGATCTCCTTGACATACTGCATAATTCCTTGATCTGTTGGTGCCTTCTGCTTTCATCTTTCTTTTTTTCCCCAAATCAATCTCTGTTCCTACACAACACTGGGAATTTCATGGGAACTTCACTGGTCTCTCAGTGCACCCTGAACTCAAAGGGCACCTGGATACTTGTCAGATGTTCCATCCACTGTGTTGTCATCACTGCTGCTGCCACCACCATCATCACCACCATTGTCATCAAGAAGTCACTGCCTGAAGTGCGATGTAGACCATTCTTCAAAGAAGATATACAGATGGCTAACCACCATATGTAAAGAGGCTGAACACTGCTAATTATTCAGTTCAGTTCATTTCAGTTCAGTTCAGTCACTCAGTCGTGTCCGACTCTTCATGACCCCATGGACCACAGCACACCAGGCCTCCCTGTCCATCATCAACTCCTGGCGTCTACTCAAAGTCATCTCCACTGAGTCAGTGATGCCATCCACCCATCTCATCCTGTGTGTATGCTAATCAAAACTACAATAAGGGATCACCCCCTACCAATCAGATGGGCCATCAAGTAAAAGTCTACAGACAATCAATATTGGAGATGATGTGGAGAAAAGGCAAGCCGCCTACACTGTTGCTGGGAATGTAAATTGGTGTGGCTGTTATGGAAAACAGTAAAGAAGTTCCTTAAAAACTAAAAATAGAGCTATCATGTGATCCAGCAATCCCACTTCAGGGCATATGTTTGGAAAAGAAAAAGTTCCCACTTGAAAAGATACATGCACCCCATGTTCATAGCAGTGCTATTTATAATAGCCAAAACTTGGAAGTAACCTAAATGTCTGTCAACAGATGAAGGGATAAAGACGATGTGGTACATACAAACAACGGAATATTACTCAGCCATCAAAAGGATGAAATAATTCCTTTTGTAGTAACATGAATGGATCTAGAGGTGACCATACTAAGTGAAGTAAGTCAGGCAGAAAAGACAGACATATAATATCACTTATATGGAGAATCTAAGAAATAGTCTAGGTGGTTTCCTGGTGGTCTAGTGGTTAGGATTTGGAGGTTTTGCTGCTATGGCCATGTTTATCCCATGTCAGGGATCTGAGAGCCCACAAACTGCTTGGCATGGCCAAAAAAAGAGTACAAATGAACTTATGAATAAACCAAAACAGACTCATAGTCGTAGAAAACATAACTTGTTGTTACTAGAGAGAGGGGTAAACTAGGAGTATGGGATTAACAGATGCACACTACCATACATAAAATAGATTGAAATAACAAGGACTTTACATATAGCACAGGGAATAATATTCAGTATCTTATTATAATCTGTAATGAAAAAATTTAAAATAATATAGATATATACACAGATTATGTATAACTGAATCACTTCGATGTATACCTGAACTAACAGAATATTGTAAATCAACTCTACTTCAATTAAAGAAACAAGCAGACAAAAAAAGTCACAGCCTAATTGAGATAAAATGCTGGAATTAAAGCTGAATTGTTGGAGCAGTATAGCTGGAGACCACCACCAGGAGGAGACTCTTCTTCCTGGGGCGTCAAATCCTGGGAAGGGCAATAGAGTAGCCCCTGCTACTTCTCCTGGATCCCAACAATCCTACCTCTCTATTTCCCACTTTCAACCCTTTTGTATTACTGGTCTCGTGTTGCTAGTTCCCCTGCCTCTCCTTTTATTCTGCCCCCAGTGACTTCTTTAGTTCAAAGTAAGTGGTGTCTGATGGGAAGGGAGTTGGGGGAGAATGGATACATGTGTGTGTATGGCTGAGTCCCTTCATGTCCACCTGAAACTATCACACCACTGTTAATCGACTGTTCCTCAATACAAAACAAAAAGTTCATCGTGTGAAAAAATAAGAGGTTTCTCCCTCGGCCCCCGCCCATTCTCTAGTCCCCCCTTCCTCCCTAATCCAGGCTCCTCCTCTCTCCCCATCTATCACCTACATTCACCCCTCCCCTCCCGAGCTCAGCTGCAGAAATGCCAATTTCCTAACCTTCAGCTCCAACAATTTTGTCTCACTCTCCTTTTTCCCCTAACAAGGTGCTTCTGCACCTTGACCCGGAATGTGTCTCTGGACCCTCAGTGCTCTGGGGGCGGTGGAGTTGGGTCCTCTTGCAGATGCTTATAGATCTGGGTGAGCTCCTCCAGCTTCCGCTCCAGCTCCCCGGCCCGCTGCCGCAGGTTTTCAGCTGATGCCGTCTTTGCACCGTCATGCAGGTGCATTGACTCCTTCACCAGGAAGCCCACATCCACCAGGAGGAAGACGCCTGCAGTGGCCGCACCCACGATCCGGGCTCCTTTGGTAACTGCCGAAGCCGTGCCTTTGAAAGCTGCCTCTACCTGCTGGATGGCTGGGGCTGAGATTCTCCCAGGGCTCACGAGGATGTTTGCATTGGCTGCAGAGTCAGGGTTGGCTTCGCCTGTCTCCATGGCATGGATATTTCTTTCAAGGTGTTTCTCAGCTTTTGCCAATTTCTCTGTTGTGACAACAACGTGGGGGTTGCTCTTGAGTACCTCTAGGAGCACCTTCCATTTCTTGACAGCAATTGACATCAATTGACTGGCTTTGTTTTCTGCTTATGACCTACTTACATGTTCCACGATGCTGGTGGACATAGCGGTCACAGCACTCGCTGCTCCCAGCCCTATCCCAGTGACTGAGAGTGCCATACTGGCCCCGGCTGTCACGGGTGCCAGAGCCAGGCCAAGGATGGTCAGAACGCCAGATAAAGCGCCAGTGCTGTGGGTCACCACATTGGAGATGGTACAGTCCCTGTGGACTTTGTCTACATTGTCTGCAAGCTCCCGGAGCTTGCTTATGAGATCCACCAGCTGCTGCGTCACCCGAGGAAACTTCTTCAGAAACCTCCTCCTGTCCAGCTGCTCTTTTGGGAGCATTTCCTGGTCCTTCTCAGCCAAGTCTCTTTTCAATTCATTCAGATATTCGTGTAGTGCATTCATGTCTTCCCTGTAACATGAAGGTCAAGGGCTTAGAAAGGCCATTTGCTTGTCTGTAATATAGGTTCAAAAATGTCTATTCTGCATACATACAGAGATAGTACTATAAATCGATTAGAAGAGAAATTTACAAAAGTAAAATTTCCTCTTTCAACATTTAACATAGGTTTTATACTTTGTAGATGCTCCATATACTTCTTCAATCCTCTAACAGATAAACAAAAATCACCTTAGGATACTTGTAACTTAAGAGAGATATTTGATGGAATTCCCTGGTGGTCCAGAGGTTATGATTCTGCACTCCCACTGCCTCAGGTATGACTCAGTCCCTGGTCAGGGAACAAGGACCCCACAAGCCATGTGGCTCAGCCAAAAAAACCCCAAAAAACCACATTTGGTAGAGGCGTCTCAGAGGCGGGCAACACCAGCACTAGAACGAGTTGGTGAGCGGGAACTCCACAGAGAAACGAAGAGAAGTGGGGTTAGAGCAGAAGACCTGCGTTCAAGGGCCTTGGTGTGTGGTGAGAGGTCCGCCTGATCTTGGCCCTTGGCTACAGGGAAGGGTCCCTAAGCCCCTAGAATACTCTGGCTGATACGAGTGTCCTCATCTGCCTGGGCCTTTTGCCCACTGTTCAGTCTGACAAGGAGACACTGATGGGGCCTCTGGAGGAGCTGGACTATAGGACATTTGTCTGACCTCTGGGAGGGGCTGGAGACCACAAGTCAGGATAATTTGTCTTTAAACGGGTGACTGTCCCCGGCAGGCAGTGTTCCCTGTGCCCTGCCACTCACTGAGCTCCAGAACAGTAACGCATCCTGGGGACAATCGAAGCTTCGGGGGTGAAATCCGCCCAGATTCTGCCCTGTGGCTGATGGAAACCCACAGGCTCCCTGTGATACACTGGGCTCATGATGGCTCTCAGTGAGTCCTGTCTGTTCTATAGGGAATTCTCAAACCTGAGGGGGGTTTTGGGGAATCCCCTAAATTTGCCGTTGGTTCACATGAAAGCATAGTCTTGGGCACTGTGCCCTCACATTTTGCACAATGGCTGTCCCTATGACTTAGAATTTGTAAAAAAAAAAAAAAAAGCCCAAAGTCAAAACTAGAAGGCCTTAACAGTCCTTTAGTCTGCCATCTGCTGTCTTCTAAGGCTTGTGTCCTTGGCCTTCCCAGCAGAAGGTCCCTGAGTCCATCCACGGCCCCAGCTGCCTGGAGATCAGGAGATGTGTTGCTGGTTCCTCTTGGACTCTCCAGCCCACCTCACTGACTCCTGACCCAGCACTCAGCACCCCTGACCTCTCAGGTGTCACATGTTAATCTGTGACAGCTTCATGACCCTGCACCCCAAGGTCATGTGCAACTTTATGGAACCTCTAAAGGTTCAAGAGGCTTGAGGAAACACCCATCTGAATGGCTGAGCCTGAAGAGACCTGCATTTGCACAATTGGTGGAGGAAGCATTTTCCTCTTGGGTGCGGATGCACGAGGCTCCTCAAAATCCCTCAAATGACTCACAATCACAGCCACTCATTGTGACCCTGGAGGGCTCACTGAGCCACACGGCCTTCTACTGTCAGGGGAAGTCCACGTAGCTTAGAAGAGGGTCCCAGATGGACTGAGAACCCAGGTCCCAGGCAGGGGCTGCAGACACTGTCACCCAGGGCCCTCTAGCCCAGCATGAGGGGATCCCATCAGGGAGGAAGAAATGTCCCCCCTCCCACTCAGGGGACCTCTGCTAGGGTCACAGCCTCTTCAGTTTTGTGTCCTCGGGGCCCACTCTCCTCACTCTAGTCCTGGTCCTGCTGCCCAAGGCTGTCTACTAGTCCTCCAACCTGGACCTTCGGCTCCACCGTGACCCCTGGGTCTGACCCTGGTCTAGGCCTTTCCGAGCCCTTTGGATGAGATGATTGTACTTGCTTCCCCACCTCTGACCCTGCAGTTCACTCTGAGGCCATCACCATAGCCCATCAGACTGAATTACTATTCCCACTGGACACATGCAAATCTGAAACTGTAACACATAAGCCCAGAACCCAGGAGCTGGGCAGGGCTAGATCCAGGATCCCATCAGCTCCAACCAGTTCCTCTCCAGCCTCTCTGCTTTGTGGGCCAGCAGGATCCTGCAGGGTTGGTACAGTTCCTAAGATGGGGACTAGAAAGGCTTTATCTAGGTAGAAGCCTGAGTAATACACATGATGGCATCAAGATTTTCTGACTTGCCCCAAAGGAAATTCTGCTTGGTTCTCATCATCAGAAAAAAAACTCTTCCCAACAATCTTTTTAAATGTTAATATTGATTGAATACCTACTCTGTATCAGTCATTATGGGAAGATCATTGCATGCAAGATCTCAGTACCCTCACAATAAAACTGAACAGATGATGAAGCGAAGGCAGAGAATAGCTCAGTAACTAGTCCAAGGTCACATAACCTGCCCCTTCCTTACAGGTTTCATCTTCTCTCAACCTGAGGTTGTTCAATGCCAGCAAATGACATGGAGGAAACATTCCTCATGAGATACTGAGAAGGAACATCCTACGCCCAGCATAGGGTCCTGCTTGGAGGAGGTGTGCCTGCTAGGAGAAACCTGTTCTGGTGCTGCGGGCTGTGGGTGACCTTCCTGACATACCAATGCACCTGTAGAGGTTACCTGGACAAACCAGACTGCGCCTCAATTTTCCTCAGGAATTCAGTCAGCAGGAGAAGCAGTTCCTCTCTGCTGAGTATGTCCCAGAGACACTCAGCGACATCCTCAAAGAAGATCTCAATATCTAGATGAAAGGAAAGGGAATAAGGTTAGAAGAATTTGTGAAGAGAAAAAGGGAAAGTGTTAGTCGCTCAGGCCTATTTGATTCTTTGTGACCCTGTGGACTGTAGCTTGCCAGGCTCCTCTGTCCATGGGGTTCTCCAGGCAAGAATACTGGAGTGAGTAGCCATTCCCTCCTCCAGGGCATCTTCCCAACCTAGGGATAAAATCCAGATCTCCCACATTGCTGGCAGATTCTTTACTGTCTGAGTCACTGGGAAAGCGCAGATTTTGTGGTGATCATAAACAGTATTGGGTAGCTTTTTTTTTTTTTAAACCCTGTGTGACCTGGGGGAGGGCTCACAGATTTTGACAATCCACTCTAGAACAGGTATCTAGATCACCATGGTGACAGAAGTTGAAGAGAGCTATTTGAGTTTTTTAATTTCGTGGACCTGAAGTGCTGAAACTCCAGTTGGATGTTGCTGTACCAATTCTGGAAGACCACCAGGTTCTAACAAAGTCCAAGCATGTGGTGTAAACCCCATGGACGCATATATCCACTCTGGCACTCAGAGTATAAAACCAGTTCTACCTTATACTCCTAGCAGAGATGTGGCTGGGATAGTAGAAGCTGCTGGAGAAAATGTATCTACTTTCAAGAAAGGTGAATTTCACTACCAGGACGATCTCTGGGGGCTATGCTGAGTATGCTCTGGGAGCCCATCACACTATTCACACGCTTCCCCCAAAAACTGCACTTTAAACAAGGAGCTGCCATCAGCATCTCATGTTTTACTGCTTATCAAGTCTGCTCCACAGTGCCTGTGTGAAAGCTGGAGGAAGTGTTCCGGGGCTAGTGGAGGAGCTGGAAGATCAGCAGGCCAAATGGTTAGAGCTTATGGCTTAAAGATTCTGGGCACAGCTACTACTGAGGAAGGACAAAAGACTGTTTGGCAAAACGGAGCTCACGAAGTGTTTAATCACAAAGAAGCTAATTATATTGATAAAACTAAGAAATCTGTTGGTGAAAAAAGAGTTGATGTGATTACTGAAATGTTTGCTAATGTCAAACTTAGCGAAGATTTAAATTTTTTTCACATGGACGACGAGTAATAGTTTTTGCCCCAGAGGTCCTATTGAAATAAACCCACAGGATCCATGACAAAGGAATCTAGCATAAAAGGAGTAGCTCTCCTTTCATCCTCCAAGGAGGAATTTCAGCAGTTCGCAGCAGCCCTCCAAGCCGGAATGAATTGGTTAGTTGAGACCAGTAATAGGTCCCCGGTATTCACTGGAGAAGGTGGTCCAGGCTCATGAAGATATCATTCACAGCAGTGGGGCTACAGGAAAAATGATTCTTCTCTTAAAATCATTAATCCTGCCATTGATTTCCTGTGTAATTAAAGGGTTTCTTACCTTAGTTTTACGTAGACTGCATTTGCTCTGCTTAGCAATCATTTGATTCAGCGAGTTTCTTCTATTTAAAAAAATATTTATCTTAGGATTTATAGGCATTGGAGTGCATTTTATTCTATAGCTGGGAATATTCTTTATGCCTTCTACCTCTCATCAAGGAATAGTGGGAAATAGGATGTTAATGGTCACTTGGCATTGGAGGACATTACAGAAATTCTTAACCAATGCTTATCATTAATTCCATACCTTTGACTGCTGCTACTGTTAAGTCACTTCAGTCGTGTCTGACTCTGTGCGACCCCATAGACGGCAGCCCACCAGGCTCCCCCGTCCCTGGGATTCTCCAGGCAAAAACAGTGGAGTGGGTTGCCATTTCCTCTTCCAGCGTATGAAAGTGAAAAGTGAAAGTGAAGTTGCTCAGTCATGTCTGACTCTTAGTGACCCCATGGGCTGCAGCCTACCAGGCTCCTCCGTCCATGGGATTTTCCAGGCAAGAGTACTGGAGTGGGGTGTCATTGCCTTCTCCATACCTTTGACTAAAACATGCTAATTCAAAATAGTACTGCTTGATTCCCAAGCCTAGTTCTCTTTACAAAGGTTCTTTAGTCTCTGATTAACACAGAACTATACTGGACTCTGACGATTCTCTTAACTAAATGAGACCCCTTTTCTAAACTAATCTCATCTAGATCTACCGGTCTCTCAGAAGGGCAAGATAAACCATGTCCAGAGAAATCTGTTAGTTTTCCAATATTCCCCAATATTTTATGCTATTCACTAGGTTAATCATTGACTTCCAATGATCCATGTATTCTCTAAGGACATCAGCCTTATCTCTGGTATGATATGATACTAGGTGCATAGTTGGGCTTTCCAGTTGGCGCTAGTGGTACAGAATCTGCCTGCCAGTGCAGGAGATGTAGGAGATGTGGGTTTGATCCCTGGGTCAGGAAGATCCCCTGGAGAGGGGCATGGCAACCCACTCCAGTATTCATGCCTGGAGAATCCCATGGACAGAGGAGCTTGGCGGGCTACATACAGTACATAGGGTTGCAAAGAGTCGTACATGATGAAATGACTTAGCACATCAAGTGCATAGTTTCCAAATCTATATGTATTGATTGATTCAACTTGTTTCTGACCACATGAAGGCTTTTAAGTCACAAATGGTGTTCAAGCTCCTCCAAGTGCCACTGCCTTCTCCAACTATTACTTGGGGCCTCCTGGATCAAAGATCCTCAACATGAGGGTAAACAGAACATGCTGCTTCAACAATTTAAGGTCTGTGTCCCTGGCCAGCTCGAAGCAGTCTGAACAGAATTGCCACCCCTTTTCCCTAGTAGCCATATTATCCTAAATGAAAAGGGGAGAAATAAAGGATAACAGTCAGAGAGGAAGGACAGGGGTCCCCAGGAGGAAATAAACTGATAGTGGCAGACGTTTTTTTCCCCCTTATCTGCATGAGATTAAAAGGTTTCTTGTAATCCTGTGCTGCCATGACGATACCTGGGGCCCCCTGAACTTAACTTTTTCTCAAACCTTGAGCTAACTAACGTGTATTTCTCATAGAAATATTTTTCTTAAGCTGTGTTAATGAAACTATTCATTTGCTTGGAAATCTGCCTTTCTTCAAGATTCATGTCAATTGTTTTCTGGCCAGAGGTGAGTCCCCTTGTGCCATTCTATCTCAAAATGCATGTTGTGGGAGAGGAGCCAGGTGCAACACTCTCTGTCTGAGGCATTTCTTTTATCCGATTAGCAGCTTGCTATCAGCTATATAACGCCTTGCTAAAAACTAGCAAGGGGGCACTCTTTCTGTCCCCTTCTGAAGTCTATCTTAGAAGCTTTCTCTACCCCATTTACACTTTAATAAAACTCTACTACAGAAAAGCTCTGAGTGATCCAGCCTTGTCTCTGGCTCCAGATTGAAGTCTTCTCCTTGGAGGCCAAGGATACTGGATTCGCTCACAGCTCACAGAAGTAACCTTTCAGAATTGTATCTATGTGTGACGGGGATCATGTATTTTTATTTAAATTAATAAACAAAGTATATGCCTTAAGAATGATCTGCTTTTGTTATCATAATATGATAACTACAACAAATTCTAGAGTAAATTTTTTTTTAATGCTGTTTGGCATAAATTGTTGAAACTCACCTTCCTGAGCAGTGACCACCTGGGCGCTGTTGGTAGAGTCACCCGGGTCCTGGATGGATCTGCTGTTCCCGCCCTCACCCCCATTCATGTGCTGAGGTTTAACCCCCAGTGACTGTATTTGAAGGTTGGCCTTTAAAGAGGCAATTGGGGTAAAATGAAGTCATAGGTGTGAGGCCCTAATCCAATAAGATTGTCGCCTTTATTAGAAAAGAAGAGACCATATTTTCTCTCTTCCTGCCCCTTCCTCCAGAGGAAAGGCCATGTGAGGACACCGTTAGAGGGCAGTTAGGAATTGCAAGCCAGGTGGAGAGGTCTCACCAGAAACCACCACTACCTTGATGATCTTGGACTTCCAAACCTCCAGAATCATGATCTAATCCTGAGATTTAGATGTCTCCAGGAATCTACAATTTTAATTTTTAGAAAGAGAACGAGGGCTTTCTATGTGGTACAGTCGTAAAGAATTGGTCTGCCAATGCAGGAGACACAGGAGTCGTGGGTTTGATCCCTGGGTTGGGAAGATCCCCTGGAATACAAGATGACAACCCACTCCGAGTATTCTTGCCCGGAAAATCCCAAGAACAGAGGAGCCTGGCTGGCTACAGCCCATGAGGTCACACAGAATTGAACACAAATGAACAGATGAGCACATGCACACACACAAAGAGAGAGAGTACAGGGCCTGTGTGTTTTTGATTTACTTCTAGCAGAGACTGGCAGCACCCTGCAAATGAATGTTTTCGTGTTTTGGCAGTGAAACAAAAGAATATTCACATTAAATGGGATAAAGAATGTGATGAAAATAATTAACCTCGGATCAGTACAGGGCAAGATCACTGCTCAAATGAGTTAACAAAATCCCTGTGTGATTTCAGGGATCTAGAGGTTATGGAACTGAAGGTAAGACGTAGGCACTAGGATATATATGTATATATATGGGGGGCTGGGACATGATGTAAGATGTGTTTCCTGGTACACATTATTCTTATTTCACAGAAGAAGAAAGTGAGACAGGAGAAGGGACAAGCCAAGGCCAGTGAGCAGGAAGCTCAGAGATGGAACCCAAGGTCAAGTGTCAGACACTTCTTGGACATGACTTTCAATCCTCCTTATTTTAAACTCCTGTGATTTCTTCATTCTGCGACTAGGGATTTTTCCAACTAAGTTTTGGTGGTGAGTATGCTGCAGCTGGAGGAGAGCTTGGCAACCCACTCCAATATCCTTCCCTAGAAAATCCCATGGACAGAGGGGCTTGGTGGGCTGCAGTCCTGGGGGTCGCAAAGCGTCGACAACGACTGCGCAGCTAAGCAGAGACTGCAGCAGCACACCGCAGCACACACAGAAGGAGAAGTCCAGTGCTGTTCGCATGAACTTATAGAACATTGTAAACCAATGTGACCTCATTGTAAAAAAGGGTTGAGGACCACCCACCGCTGAGTAAGACTGCTATGTGAGAGGATCCTTTTCAGAGACACTCAGGATGGGCAGGGGAGGGGATCAGCCAGGTGGAGGAGGGGTGGAGACAAATGTAATCCTGTGAACAACCCCGTCACCCTTGTCACCCTTCCCCTCCAGGTGGGAGGTGGCAAAGGTAGACTGGGGTTCAGTTCACTGTCCGCTGACTCTTGCAGAGTCGCTGGGTGAGCGGCAGGGTGAGAGCTGAAGGAATGGTGTCTGTGGTGATGCCCCAGGGTCTGGGAGCAGGAGGAGGCTGGGCCAGGGAGAGGGCAGGAGGAGCTCCAGGGACCCTGGGGGACCTCCTCTCGCTGCCCCATTTGGCCTTGGGGACACTCTCTGCTGTCCCCCTCCCCATGAGCTGTCCTGGCCTCACTTCTGAGTCACTTGCTAGAGGGCAGTGGGGCAGGAAGTGAGCACCTAGCAAGTGGATCCCCAAGGAGAGGACTGGGAAAGAGGCTCTGTGGACACACTCCCATTGGGGGAACTCCACGTGGCCCCTCTGGGGGTCTCCAGGATGCGCATCCATCCCCTTCTTTGTTCTTGATTCCTGTGTAGGTTAACTCTGCCTGGAGGAACCACCCTCAATTCTGGGTCACATGTAGGAACTGGCCAGAAAAGAGGCAGCTGCCTACCTAAGCGGTCTCCGAGGTTTTCTGAGCTCATGATGGCAGCAGCAGGGTCTCAGAGATCTCACGTCAGCTCCTTGTTTCCGTCAGGCTGGAAGGAGGTGTGACCTCACCCTTGGGGAAGAGAAAACAGAATGTGGGCTCAATCACAAGTGAGCAGTGGCTTCAAGGAGCAGTGAGGGTTGAGGCCTCTGGTGGGTTCCCCTGGGACGGCCACCAGTGCCAGCGGGGACTTAACCCAGCGTGGTTCTCTGTCTCCTAGGCTCTGTAGGTCACTAGTTAAGGAAAGTTACTCATCTCCGTCCAACTTCCTCCAAGTCATAGTCCTGTTATCCTGTTGGGGTACAAGGAGAAGACCGTCCTCTTCACAGTCCTCTGTGAAGTTATAGGAGTAATAAAGCCAGAGACAGAATAGATAGGAAGGAATACTCTGGAAATTACATGAGGTTGGAGCAACTCTGTTACTAACTGGTAACAGGTGATGTTGATCCAGTGTCTATGATGTGCAGGCTCCTGAAACTAATCTAACTTTAGGTCAGCTCAGTTTTTCACACTGGTGCCAGAGCCTGGACTTGAACCCAAGTCTTTCTGATCCAGACCCCAGGTTTGTGATGATTATACTCTACTCCATTTAATATATGAAAATAATTACTTGCGGATGTATGTTTATTGGTAAATGACTCTCTCATTCTAAAACGATGTCTTGCTCCCCAGGCTCGAGTCAGCCTTGACAAAGTTCCTGGTGGCGCAACTCCGACAGCCCAAGTCTTCCTTGCTTCTGCAAGAGCCTTTATCTCACAAGGGCCTAGAGTCCCACCAGCCCCACCCCACTTCCTGTATCCCTGCCCTTCCGGGCTGAGGACCCTGAATGGCGCCTCGTCATCTCTGCTGTCTTCCCTTGACTATTGGACTTTAGGTTGTCTCTAATACCTTGTGTAAATAATAAAGAACATTCTCCTTGTATTAAACTTCACTCACATTTGAGACTGTTTCCTTAAGCTATTTCTGGAAGTACAATTACTAAATCACAAGGCATCAATACCTAAAACATTTTCATACCTATAGCCACACTGTTATGCAAACAAACCGTCATAATTTATGTTCGCACTCATAATATATGAGGGTGTCCATCCTTTCAGACTTTCCCATTCTCAGTGGTCTTTAAAAAAAAAAAAAAACTCAGGTCTTTATATTATTTATAAAAAAGTTATTTTGGTTCTGCATGTGATTATCTCGCCATGGGAGAAGAGGAGGGAAAGCAGATGTTGATTGCATTTAGCTACTGTTTTCAGAAGGCAAGAGAGCCTTTGTCAACTCCTCCTCCTGAGACCTGACTGAAAGGATGTAAAGGTGCTCACAGGTATAATGACAGCTGCGGGTAAGAGTGCCTTGTGTTTGTGGTCGTCGCTCTGCATTGGTCTTGGCTCTGAAACTTTACACTCGGTAACTTGTATGTTATTCCATTTGAGATGTGTACATTGTATCCCCATCTACAGGCAAGGAAGCTGAAGTACAGAAGTTTATGATTTGGCCAAGGTCAGAAGTCTTGCCCCTGGTAGACTGGATTCCTCCCCACTCACTGGGCTCAAGAACCATAGCCTCCCTCTTCTCCCTCTGCTGCTAATAAAAGCAAGCAACAGGGGGCAACAGGAGACCAGAGAGTTCAACAAATATTTGAAGACTCACTGGATGGAGCAGTGATGGCTGAATAAAGAGGAGTGCAGGAGAGGGAGAGAAACAGGGAGCCTGTTCACAGGAGAGAAGCCTGGTCTGCTGGGCAGAGCCCCAGAGAGGGGGCAAGATGAGAGGAGGCCGAGGGGAGAGCAGGGGACAAGCTCACCAACCCCACGTCCCATCCCATATTCACAGCAGCCTTCACTCTTCGCCAGCCTTTTCAGAAAGTTACTTGAAGTAGAGGTGCAGGGAAAAACAATAGGTGGTGTGTTTGTGTAATTATGGAGGAAGATAAAGGATACACACAATAGAGACAGATGTGGGATCCAGGAGTCAGGAACATCAAGCCAGCTAGAAGGGAATGCAAAGATTGCAACTGGGCACACATCAGACTGAGAGAGAAACCAGTCCACAATGGGATAAAAAGTCCAGAGTCTGTGGGGACAGAGGACGCGGTATCATATGAGGCACAGTTGGAAAGAAATGGAGGAAATGTTGAAGATAAACAGAGCAAGGGGTGAAAATGAAGCCAATTAGAAACATCAGGAAAAACTAAAGTTCTGCCCATAAGCACAAGCAGTTATTTGGTACAATTTAGCTCTAAAAAGAAGGCAATGGCAACCTATTCCAGTACTCTTGCCTGGAAAATCCCATGGACAGAGGAGTCTGGTAGGCTAAGGTCCATGGGAGTCTCGAAAATTCAGACACGACTGAGCGACTTCACTTTCACTTTTCACTTTCATGCATTGGAGAAGGAAATGGCAACCCACTTCAGTGTTCTTGTCTGGAGAATCCCAGGGATGGGGGAGCCTGGTGGGCTGCCGTCTATGGGGTCGCACAGAGTTGGACACGACTGGAGTGACTTAGCAGCAGCAGCTCTAAAAAATATGTATTAAAATGTCACAAATATATAAACTCTCTTGTTTGATTTTTTTAAAAAATCTAAGGTAAATTAATGTATGTCCAAGTCCTAGTTTTCCCATTTTTATTATTTTGGATGCTGTTTTAAAATTGAAGTATTGTTTATATATATATACATATATATATATATAATATTTAACAATTCAGTTAATGAATATAAAAATTAAAATACGTTTCTAGAACTTGGGGGCCGAAGCTCTGAAGGGAAAAGTTGTTTACAAAGCTAGGAGTAAAGAAATAGTAGCTCCAGTTGAGAGTGTAACAAATAAATAAGTAAATAAAATGTTTACAAGTGCAAAGCTTCCTAATAGAGGATATAAAACTAGAGAAATAATGATATAAGCAGAAGATGGGGAAGGGTATAAGAAAAGTGTAAAAATAAATGAAATCTTTATTTTTCCTAGAAAGAAATAAATGAATAATATACAAATTTTTAAGTCAACAAAATGAAAAAAGCAGTACCTAATACTGATTAGCTATTGTCGTTGATGACACCCCACTATGCACCAGGCACTTTTCCAATTGCTTTGTATGAATTCACTTACTTTTAGTTCTCAAAACAATCCTATAAGAAAGGAAACTGAAGCTCAGAGACGTTAAGTAATTTACTCAAACCACTCAGCTAGTGCTGAGTCAGAATCCAAATCCAGATTCCCGTCTCCTGAGCCCATTGTCACACGATTCTACCTCCCAATGTAGTAATATCATTTGTGTGTGTTAGCCACTCACTGTGTCTGACTCTTTGTGACCCCTTAGACTGTAGCCCACCTGGCTCCTCTGTCTATGGAATTCACCAGGCAAGAATACTGGAGTGTGTTTCCATTTCCTTCTCCAAATATAATTTAAAGACATTGATTAACTATCTAAAGAAATAGCTGGATTTAGAGAAGGCAGAAGAACCAGAGATCAAATTGCCAACATCCATTGGATCACTGAAAAAGCCAGAGAGTTCCAGAAAAACATCTACTCCTGCTGTATTGATTACACCAAAGCTGTTGACTGTGTGGATCACAACAAACTGTGAAAAATTCTTAAAAGATGGGAATACCATGAATCAGTTCTAATGAGATGGATGAAACTGGAGCCCATTATACAGAGCGAAGTAAGCCAGAAAGATAAAGACCATTACAGTATACTAACACATGTCATCCTGCTTATTTAACTTATATGCAGAGTACATCATGAGAAACGCTGGGCTGGATGAAGCACAAGCTGGAATCAAGATTGCCAGGAGAAATATAAAGAACCTTAGGTATGCAGATGACACCACCCTTATGGCAGAAAGCGAAGAAGAACTCAAGACCCTCTTAATGAAAGTGAAAGAGGAGAGTGAAAAAGTTGGCTTAAAGCTCAACATTCCGAAAACTAAGATCATGGCGTCTGGTCCCATCACTTCATGGAAAACTGATGGGCAATTAATTGATGGGAAACAGTGACAGATTTTATTTTGTTGGGCTCCAAAATCACTGCAGATGGTGATTGCAGCCATGAGCTTAAAAGACGCTTGCTCATTGGAAGAAAAGTTATGACCAACCTAGACAGCATATTTAAAAGCAAAGACATTTCTTTGCCAACAAAGGTCCGTCTAGTCAAAGCTATGATTTTTCTAGTAGTCATGTATGGATGTGAGAGTTGGACTATAAAGAAAGCTGAGCTTTGAAGAATTGATGCTTTTGAACTGTGGTGTTCGAGAAGACTCTTGAGAGTCCTTTGGACTGCAAGGAGATCCAACCAGTCCATCCTAAAGGAAATCAGCCCTGGGTATTTATTGGAAGGACTGATGTTGAAGCTGAACCTCCAATACTTTGGCCGCCTGATGAAAAGAACTGACTCGTTGGAAAAGACCCTGATGCTGGGAAAGATTGAAGGCAGGAGGAGAAGGGGACGACAGAGGATGGGATGGTTGGATGGTATCACCAACTCAATGGACGAGAGTTTGAGTAAACTCTGGGAGTTCGTGATGGACAGGGAGGCCTGGCATGCTGCAGTTCATGGGGTCGCAAAGAGTTGGACACGACTGAGCAACTGAACTGAACTGAAAGAAATAGTTTTCCCTTGGGAAGGAATGAGTAGACCTCTCTGTACAGATTGATTTTTTTAAACCATATGCACTTAGGATTTTTGGTTGTTTTAACTCTAAGACAGCTACTAGTGAAGTTGCTCAGCTGTGTCCGACTCTTTGTGATCCCATGGACTATAACTTACCAGGTTCCTCCATCCATGGAATTTTCCAGCCAAGAGTACTGGAGTGGGTTGCCATTTCCTTCTTCAGGGAATCTTCCCCACCCAGGGATTGAACCCAGGTCTCCCACATTACTTGCAGATGCTTTCCTGTCTGAGCTACCAGGGAAGACTTAAGACAGCAGAAGTCACTTTATAGTATTCAGTAACCCATAATAATGGAGAGGTTTCTAGCACCACCACCTTAAAGATGATGGAAGCAGTTGAATTAAGTGCCAACAAGAAATAAGTGTGACTCTTGCTGTGACAACTGTCAGTGTAGGAGGCATGTTCGTGTTGATGAAACCAAGTTCTCTAAAAAGTAGGCATGAAAACAGGGTCAAACCAGAATAATGAGAGTGAACTGTGACCTTCAACAGATGTTGTCCAGCAGTATCTTGCCCACCCACATATGCACCCATGGGCTTCTGTCCATCAAAGGAAGGAAGACACCTTGCAGGGGAGGTGAATCCCACAGGCTGGCTTCTCTACTCCTGTAGAAGCAAGGATGCTCTTGAAGATGTTCAGAGAAGTGGTCAGAAGGGGCACCCACATATAACAGTAAAAATAATGATAATAATAAAAGGCAATGTTACTATAAGTATATTTCATCGGGTCTTGATGTGTCTGTGAAAGGCCACGAGTTCATAATATCATCAAATGAGGGGACTTTAGATAAAGTGTGGCCAAAAAGGGAGACATAAAGTTTAAAAACTGCACTAGTGGTAATGCAGGAGATTAAAAAATGCAAGAGATGTGGGTTCAGTGCCTGAGTCGGGAAGATCCCCTGGAGAAGAAAATGGCAACCCACTCAAGTATTCTCGCCTAGGAAATCCTATGGAGAGGAGCCTGGTGGGCTACAGTTCATGGGGCTACAGAGTTGGACAGGACTGAGCTGGTATCTTTCTTTCTTTTCTTTTCATGATGTAAAGAAGAGTAAGTATAATAGGAAATATTTTGTTATGAAATAAATTTAATAAGAAGAGCAGTCTTGAAGTCTGTGGGGATATTCCCTTCTGTTTATTTACACAAATGTTTATAAAGGATTGAGAAAGAAAGAACCCCTGACATCCCAAAGCTGGCCTTGTATCACAGCAGGGTGATGTTCTTTTCCACTTCGATGTAAAGGCTCTCACAGAACTCCAACTTCACACAGGGTCACCCCGAGAGCAGAAGTGAAGAAGACAGGAAACACGCATCACTGTGCCCCCACCAAGAAAACACACCCTCCCTTGCTTGAAAAGCATGACTGCTCCTTCTCTACCAATTGCACCTTTATCCTCGCTCTGGTCCCCAATTCCACAGATGGAGTTACTGAGACTCACACTGGTAGAACTGACCCCTGTTCTCGGCAGCACCCAATCTAGAGTTGCCCTGTATCTTTAGAGCCTCCCCCAAATCCCCTCCCCTACGCCCCATCCTAGGATCTATCTTTCTATCACCTTCTGTCTGTGATACCCAAGGTTGTCCCTAGGAAGAGTAACCATCAGTTTGTCCACTAGGGAGTGTGAATGGTGACAGAGGCTAGAGGCAGCGACCTTGTGGATGGGAGAGTATTCACAGAGGAGGCCTGCCTCCAAGCAGGTGGGAGAGGAGAGCTGGCTGCTCCCCTGCCTCCTTCTCCGCCTCAAAGCTGCAGGACCCCAGGAGCCAGGGCAGCCAATTGAAATCATGAAACATGAGAAGGAAAATTCAAGCCAGAAAGAAGAGGAGGGCTCCAGCAGAAGGGCCAGCTCCTGGATGAGGCCAAAGAATTGTAAATGCATCATGACCCTTGACTTATCCTTCTGTCTTTCCCTCCCATTCTTATCCTGGTCCTGACCCCTGTCTTGGGTCTCAGCCAGGTATGGATGTTGGACGGTGCTCCCTTCTGATGGATTTCTATTGTGAATGTCTTCCTCTGTTAGCCTCCAGGTCACTTCCTGGAAAGGCTGTTTCTGGGAAAAGGGAGGACTGTGGGGAAGCCTGTCCCTGCCCAACTGCATGGCCAGACACAGAGCCCTCCCCTCCCCGTGGGCATACAGACTCTACCAAACATCCCCCTCCACGTGGGACAGCTCATACTCTATGGGCAGGGACAGGAGGGGTAAAGGCAGGGTCAGATTCAGAGCCCTTAGCCCATCACCAGGCCCTCCTGATGCTCCTACTCCTGTCGTGCTCACCCTCCTGACTCCACAGGGCCTGGTCCAGGGGCCTGGAGGACTCCCAGCTCCCTGGACTCTGATTCCCCCCCTCCAGCCTCCAGGCCTTCACTCAGGTTGCTCCTCCCCCTGCAATGTCTTTCCCCACCTGCCTCACCAGGTGAAATGTTACCTGTAATTAGAGTTCCCACTCCAAAGCCTCCTCCCCCTGCTGCCTCCCCCAGTTACTCTCCAGGCCCCCCTGGAATCTTGCACTTTCCTGGTTGCGGGTCTGCTTGTGTGGAGTTTCTTCAGCTCCCAGCACTGGGCAGCTGCCCTGTCTCTTCTCTGCTGCTCCTCCTGCTCCAGGGCCTCAGGGGTTCCCTCCACCCTCCTGGGCACAGCCTGGCTAGAATACGAGGTGTGGGACACGTTACTGGGACATGAAGCAACCAGCTTCATGAAAACACAGCACCACACTTCTTTTACCTGTGATGGAGTACTTAGATTTGTTTTCCTTGTCTGCCTTGATAAAAGTTCTTTCTTATTGACAGCGTCCATCACATTCCTGAGTGTTTCCATCTATGGGAATCACGCACTTTTCAGATCACCCTCTGCCAGTAAACTGCAATGTGAGACCTACGTTGTCTATGCTCTATGTCATCTTGCTTTAGGAAAGCTTTTGTAGGAACACAGACACACCTGCCTCCACATCCAGGCTCTGCCCCTACTTAGCCTGTGCCTTGGGCCATGACCTCACCTCCCTGAGGTTCCATTTCCCTTCTGTAGTGATGATCACCCTTTGCTCAGACAGTCGTTCTGAGGATGGGGAGATCGGCGGGGGTCCTACCCACCCCTGCTTACCTAGGAGTCTTCCTCTGCCTGAGTGTGAACAAGATCCAGTTGTTCTCAGCTCTGCAGATGCAACTGCCTTCTGTGTGTCTCTGCAATAAGCCACACACACCTTCTGGTCCCAGGTATATTCCGAGAACCTAAAGGGAAAGCGAAACTCTCACTTCTGAGCGGCTCGAGTTAAAAACACCCTGCCCCCACCAGGCCCCACCCAGAACTACTCCCACGCTCCTGCTGCCCCCTTAGAGAAACAAGCCCAGCCCTGACATGCCACGTCCTTCTGACACAGCCCCCCTGCCTTGGCTCCTTGAAGGAGACCTGCCACCCACACACCGTGAGTCCCGTGGCCACCCACTCCCCCACCCCATGGCCATCTCTCCACCCCCTCAGCACCCCCACCCACCCGCTCACCAGCCTGCCTGCTTTATTCACCCTCATGCCACCATACGTGGCACGGAACACACAGCTCCTNGGGCATGTGCAGATTCTGTGCAGGCAGCATCCCACCATTCCTGTCCACACTCTCACATCAGCTCTAAGATGTTTCAGCTCCATTTTTCAGATTAAGAAACAGAAGAACAGGACCCAAAGCCTGAGAGTCATGCAGCTGGACTGCTGGTGGACTTTTCTTTTTAGCCCCCAGCAGCAGGGGCAGCAATGGGCCTGGACCACCCCATGGAGGCCCACCTGCCCGACATTAGGACTGCTTCATCCCAGAAAATGGCCCCAGTCATCATGGTCACCTTCTCTCAGCTTTTGAGGGAGGGCCAGAGGAGCGATGGGTGGTATTCCATGAGGACCACACACTAGAGTTGGTGTTACAATCACCCAGGGAATTAGGTCAGCAATCTGATCTCATTTTGCTGATAAGCAACCAAGGGGAGGGGCGAGGTGGGGGCTTTCTTTCCTCAACTCACGGTAGAAGCCACGATTCAAACCAAGGTTGTCATTTGCCTATCGTAAACTCTATTCCTTGATTAAAGTTACTTTATGTTTTCAATTTTTTTCCAGTAAACTCCCTCCTACTGATACTTCTCTCTTCCACTAGCATGAGCTTATCTGGACAGTCAAGCAAAACCACCATGAGATGCAGAACTCAGCTAATCCATATGTGTGGGAACCATGGTTTACTGCTTTCTCAGAAAGGTCTCCTGGAATTTAATCTTATCATTCTCTCCACTTTGCTTTCTCTTTCCCCCTCCTTTAAGTTAGACATTCTGACTGACATGTCAGCAGTAGTTAGATGCTGTTCTGCACACAGAACAAACCCCCTTATCTTCAAAGTCCTTTCTTTATGATTCTAATGTGATTACCTCTGGACCTCCAGGAGGAGGCTTCGTTAACACTAGAATTCTGGTCTCTGCCTTGCCTTGCTGCTCGTAGTTAAAGATCACGAGATAAATTGTCAATAAATACGGGATCAGGGTTTTCTGGAGAGTGTCTTTTCTGCGTGCTCCCCCTGCACTCTCTCTCATAATCCTGTGTGTTTGTGAGAACTATTCAGTGCGAAACCACCACATGTATCAGCACTTTTGCCAGGTACTTTGCATGCATGATCTCAGTTTCCTCAGAATAAAATTGAAGAGATGAGGAAACTAAGGCAGAGTAACTTGGCAGAGAAACTAAGACTCAGTAATTTGTCCAAGGTCACATAACCTGCCCCTTCCTTGCAGGTTTCATCTTTTCTCAATCAGAGGACATTCCCTGTCAGCAAATGACATGGAGGAAACATCCCTCCTGGAATCCTGAGGAGGAACATCCTCAACCCCAACAATGGAATCCTGCTGGAGGAGGTGTGCCTGCCAGGAGGAAACTAGCCTGAGTTGGGAAGGATCTGGGTGAGATTTCTGGCACAACTTTGTGGGTTAC